TCTGTGTTCTGTTTTCCGTTCCCTTTCACTTCTAAACACTCTTAGGCATACATTGAGCATTGTAATTGGATTAAAGAGATAAGAATGAAGCCTAAAGAGGAAAATGTGAATTTTGAACGGATTGAATTATTAGTGACCCTTTTATGGTCATGGCATGTGTAGGGTCGAGTTCTAGAGCGAACCAATCAACCGATCACTGTGAGTAATATCTGACATATGTTATTGTCCAATTGCTACTTCTATGTAAGTTTTGTAAAGTTCATTAACTTGAATGGTGGACACAGTTTGATTTGAAAGGCCTATGAGCCAGTTTGATACGAAAGGCCTATGAGCCAGTTTGATACGAAAGACCTATGAGCCAGTTTGATACGAAAGGCCTATGAGCCAGTTTAAAATGAAAGGCCTATGAACCAATTTGATATGATAAAAGTTTGAAAAGGCCTAAGAGCCAGTTTAACATGAATGAATTGGGCCCAAGGCCGTCTGTTGTATAACGTTGCAATGCATTTCCTTTACTTGATATTATTCACTGGGCTTTCGCTCACGCTCATTCATGTGATTGTAGGTGAGCCAAGGGAGGTCCAGACCCAGCCCCAGTGAAGCTTAAGTGGATCAACATAGGTTTCTGGAAAGTCAGCCCTTGTGTCTCACGCACGAGGCCCATCTTCGCCCCTTTTGTTCTGTAATTATATTTTGTCATGTTGGCGAAGTTTTGTATATGTCTGTACATAGTTACCTAGGGTTGACTTACTTTCGGATGATCCTGTTGTACAGAATTTATGCTACTGCTTTGAGTTGTGAGTTATTAATGTCTATGCGTATGGTTTGTTTTGACGTGTCGTGTAAGCACAGCTCTAAGGACAAAGTTTTTAAAATTGTTTTCGTTTGGCCCCCCCTCAACTCTGTTAAATACGTTTGGTTTAACTTGAAGCCGTAGGTAATCTCATGATTACTGGCCGATTATGTCCTTAACCCATGGGGGCGGGTTCAGGTCATGACAGAGAGCATACAAGTACAATGAGGCCATGAATGAATCATAGAAAACTAATCAAAGCATGAAAGTCGATTGTGTTGTGTGTGTGAAAAGAGGCAATAGAAAAAAAAATTATACAGATTGAAAAACCTCGTAATGAAGCAGAGAAAAAACTTTTTAATCATCACAAATTTTTTTCACTGGTTTTGGGAGGTTCTACCATTGTGGGTTTTGTTAGGGTTTTGGGAGAGAAACTTTTTGGGGTGTGGGGAGGGGGGGTGTGGGGGTGTGCATTTGAATGGATGAAATATTTTTACAACGATAATTTTGGTATAATTTGGGGGGAGTAAAGAAATTTTAAAGGTTTTAGAATTTATAAGTAGGGGTTCAAAGAAATGAAGGGTACAAAAAAATTAATGGGGTGTGAATAGCAGCACTCTTTATTATTTTGAAGGACATTTTATTTTCAATTTTACCCCTCAATCTATCTGTTAAATTTTTTGACTACTTGTTCAAATATTTTTTTTTATCTTTTCAATTTTTTTGACTATCTGTTAAAATTATATGTTCAATTTTTTTTTACCTGTTCCATGTTTTATTTTTATTTGTTTAGTTTTTAGAGGGTTTGAACAGATCTGTTAAATTTACCAAACGACTTATCTTTTAAAATTCAACGGATATATATATATATATATATATATATTTTCTATCTGTTCCATATTTCCTTTTCAAACATTGATCTAATGCCTTATTTCAAATAGGACCAAAAATAAGGTTTGTTAACTTCACAAGAGGAACTTTAAAAAAAAATAAAAATAAAAAAATAAAAAAAACAACAACTAATTTTGGTATGAAGTCAAATGTTTACATCTCTTTTCCATTTTTTGTTCATAAAAAGGAATCGAATGCGAGAAATCGAGTCTAACATGTATTGGAGATGATAAGAAATGAATTTCTTGTCTACTCACAACATCTCTTGGAAAGTAAAAGGCTATGTCTCTGTCGTCAAGAGTTTCGGATTTTACTTGATCTTGTGGTAAGGGAATGACGGCGGTGGTGAAGAACGCTGGTAGTGGTAGATGACAATAGTGAGAAACAACCGATCTGTGACGATAGAGAAAGAGGATGGGCCAAAGATGAGAGAAGAAGATGAGAGATAGAGGGAGAGGGGATAAGGAGAGAGAATTTGGAGAAAACCCTAGGATAGGTATATATATATATATAATTTGGACATTTTGTACCAACATATCCTATGGACAAAATATTTAGAGGGAGCTTCTATATACACACACCCTTTCCTCTCTATACAAATCCTTCCCAATACACACACTAAAAAAATAAATCCTAATATATTTGACTCACTACACACACCTATCATTCCACATATACCCTCAAATGTAAATCATACACACACACACCCCCTCCTCTACGTACACAAACCCGTCTGATCACCCCTCTCACACACACACCCTCTGAGAAACCCCTCTCCACACACACCCATCTCTCACACTGCTCCACTCGTTCCTCCCCAAAGCTTCATCCATCCATCTGTGTCATTGAAGTATTGGCATTGAAGGGATATGGGCATTGAAATCTTCACATTTTAGGTTAGTTTACACAATTAGAATCTTCTCATTCCTATTTTATTTGTTATGTAGGGTTAATTTTACCATTTCCGTTCACCATTGTAAGTGATTGCCGTGTTTCCTCATTCGAACTGGTTATTCAATTTTTTTATTTTGTTCGGCAATCTAGTTTCGGAAACAAAAATATATATCGGCATTGAGTTCCGAATTTTCTTGCTTCTATTTCGGACTATAGTTCCGAAATATTTACTTGGTTCGGCTTTTTCAAAGTGCCGAAAAATAATTTTTTTTTTCGGTTTTCAATTGCGAATAGTAGCTTTAATTTCGGACAACAACTTCCGAACAGAATAGGTATTTTCGGTTATGAACTTCGAACAGTTTTTTTTTTTTTTTTTTTCTTCTTAATTAAAACACTTACTATATACACTTATTATAATTAAAACACTTATTATTTACACACACACTATTACACACACTCATTACACATACCTCTCTCATTATAATTTAAAACACTTATATATTACACACCTCTCACTTAATTTTACACACACACTCATTACACACACTTATAATTTAAAACCTCTCATTAATTTAGCACCACTCTGTTTATTTACACACACACACTCATTACACACACTTATATTTTTTGCAGAAATATGGTTCTGAATTATCAACAACGTTGTCCCACCTACTGCTTCAAATAGACGACGTCGTGGATATGGGATGAGACCATAGAACGGGACGAGGGCGTGGCTGAGGGACGGTCAGGGTCTGGTCAGGTCGTGATCCAGTTTCGTGTAGAATATGAATTTTCTCAGTTGCCAGTCAAAGTGGGGGGCCGAAGCCAAAGCGAGTTGAAGGTTATGATATGCCTTAACATTGCTGTGTGGAGGATACCTCTTTACCTATTCTCCTCTTGTCCAGGAAGAGTTACTTACTCATTGCTTTTTCCAGGTGGACGACTTTATCCGTCAATACTGCGAGAGTTTCAATTAGTATGTGCGATGCTAGCTATTTGACATGGGAGGTAAACATATCATTTGTTATGAGTTTTCTTGTTTTTTGTGTGTGTTGTATGGTAGTTTGTAATGATGAATCATGTGTGTTGTAGGAACGAGAGCCCCTACAAGTGTCATAATCACATCTTCCAAGGATCCTTTGCATGCCCATAGGTGGTTAGTATAGAGAACAACACCAGATTCAAAAGCCAATCTATTGAGCGTCTGGATTACATGTCTAGCTCGTTGCACTTATCAGTTCCGTCAACAAGCTTCTAATCTCCAGTTTTTGTTGAGAGTGGCAACCTGAGAATGAACACATTTCAACATGACAGTCTGTGAGATGACCTTTGACCCTGGATATGAGTTGGGCACTATTTCTGCCTTCCCATGTAGGCAAATCAGTCAGCATTACCAGATTGTACAGATCATTCATGGAGTTACATTACTCATTATGGCTTGGGGCATTAACTGAACGTGCAGCTACATAAGAGGTTTCTTCTTTGTGGCAATTCAGTCAGCTTGAATGGTTACGAGATCAGTTTGACTTGGTGTCACAGATTCAGACCCCAAGGAGGCGTATTACAGTGACGCTGCAGAGCTATTTGTTGTTCTTGTTGGGATGTACACTCTTCAGTGACAAGAGTGGCGGCAGGGTGTTCCGTTGTTTACCTCGCTTGTGATGGATTTTGGATCCCATACATACTTAGCCGGGGTGCTCCCGTGCATAGCATTGTTTATATAGACAGGTGCTAGTCGTGGCTGTTGCAGGGGTTATTATGCTTTGACGGACTTTATCGTAACTCTTCGTAGTCACTATCTACTATGAGACATATCATAGTAGTACTAATAGGAGCCTCAGGATAAGTGTGAATATACAGTGACTGACGAGCACCGGTATTAACCACAATAGCCTACCTACAATACGGAGACTACGGAAGATGTCACGATGGTGCTGTCATCTGTACCGCGGATGGAGAGACCCACCTGTGCCTTTGAATATTCCATTTATCTTAGCCAGCGAGCCTTGACAGTTTAGTAGCATTACAATAGTAAGTTTACTCATCCTCGCATAATTTTAAAACTTCATTTTATCTTACTCTTTAGTGTACTTTAATGCAAAAACACTTACGGTTCTACAAATTATTTGGATCCATTACCACAGCCTGCAGGATTCGGCATCCATATAACCGTTACGTTCTACCAATGGCATGCTTAAGTGCTTAGACGTTGTCGAACCCTAGTCATCCAGGATAGAGTTTTTGGGCAGTTTTAGCAGGGTTCAAAACCATCCCAGTTGCACAGCTAGCTCCCGTCGTGGTGCGCGGCCAACATACTGCACGATAATTACAGTCATGTACAATTACTTGGATAGGATTGGGAGGCTTGGGATAACCACGTGTTATCTGAGCAACGGAGGAGCACACCAGTTTCGTCAGCCCTATGGCAATTGTTACCTGGGGTTACATGGATGGTAATAGGAATATCACACACTAAGATGTAAGGAGCACACTGATGAACCGCTACGGTGTCCAATGACTAATCAGGATTTCAGCGAACGATGCGGATGTAATCATTAATCCTGCTCTTATGCATATGTACTTACTTTTTTTTTTTTTTTTTCTGATATGTCCCTAAAATGTGATATTCTTTTCAAATTGCAGCGTATTGCACTGCACTTGCAATTTCACATCCTATTATGGACACTGGGTTATCTAGAGAAGGGGGATTCGCCATCTTTCGACTTTACCAGGCTATCGTGAGAGTATGACACATGTTCTTGAAGTGTCAGCCACATTGACAAAGCTGATCCTAGTTTCTGCATGGAGGGTCGCGTTCCAATCTTCGACATTGACATACGTCGTAGCTAGGCGTAGGCATAACAGCTGATTTCGGTGCTACAGTCGTCAGGCCTCTAGGAGTAGGCATCACATGTTTTTGGGTGGTGTTTTGTAAGATGACATTGTTGCAATGGTAACAATTTTGGTAAATATTATTCTTATTAGAATGGAAATGCAACACATTGGTATTGTATGACATTGTAATGACATTTTATTATTAAATGGAATGGTAACCAATGGCATATCCATAACAATGCTTTCTATCCTTTGATAAGCCTCCCGCATGATGATGTCTGAGGTTGCTCTGTCAGGTGGATGATTATGCAATCCGCATTACTTACGGTCCATGTCCATTCATCGTGTGTTGGAAACCTGGTGAGCCCTCATATCAAAAGGACAACTATATCATTGGTGGAGAATTCGAAACATAATCGTTATAATTTCGTAGACTGACCTGGTTCATTTGTGAATTGAGTGGTTGTAATCTAAGCACAAAATTCGCGCAAACCTGACTTCCTTGAGTTGAACAAATATTCCTGCATGTTTGTATAACATTACAAATTTGTTAATGGGCATTATAAAGATTAATTTGCAATTTGAATTGTAAATTTGGTATTGCAGTTTGCAAATTTGGATATTAAAAATGGAAAAAAAAAAAAAAAATTTACTTTCATTTGAAAGTAGTTGTTCGATTTTTTGTGTTCAAAATCGGAAGTGAAATTGTTGTAAAAGTTTAACTGTTGTTCGAGACAACAAACTTTTTCGAATTTAACTACATTGTTCGGACAACAAACTTCGAAATTTTATTACTATTGTTCGGACATCAACTTTCCTGCGAAAAATAAAATGATTATTATCAGTTAGTAGATTTCTGAATCAAATAACACAATTCGGGTCTCTGGTTATCCGAACGACGCTGGGAAAAAAAAAAAAATTTAAACTCACATTGTCTTCGCTTCTGCTTCACTGAACACTTATTGCTGATTTTCAGAAGGTGAAATCCCTCCATAACAATGATCGTTTTCCTACGAAAAATGCCAAAGCCGTTGGTTTCACTTCTAGCTCAATGAAACTTGGAAAGAAAGCTATAATGGACACGGTTACACTGGTTCTTCAATCCTCAATGTTCACTGGTTCACTTGTTCCTCCTTTCCATTTTCAATACGCATGCCAAACCAGTGGGAACAAGCTACACACACGTGCCAACAGATGTGAACTTTCTGAGGTGTGCCATTGAGATGTTTTCAATCTAACATGGTGTCTAAAATAATAATTTCACTTAGGGATAAAATTGTAATAAAATTAAAATTATTCATTAAAGTGTGTGTATTGAGTGGAATTTAGGTGTGTGATAATAGAACTCCCATATGTTAAGTTGTGGATTTTTAACAACAAATTCCCAAGTTTAAATTATGGATCAAGTAGCTTTTTTTTTTGGTAATTTCTTCTAGGAAGGAATCTTATCTTGCTGGCACCTTTACACTTTGGTTTGATTAGGAAATTTTTTAGAAATGGAAAAAAGAAAAAATAGGGGTTAAAATATGAATAAGATATTACCTACATTCTTATTTAATTTCACACATATTTTCTCCTTCCCTTTCTAAATTTTCCAAACAAACACAACGTAGCGGTGCATACCTGAATTCATTATTTTATAAAAAGTGTAATTTTTCTCAAAAAATTGTAACATCTTCCACAAATACGTGAATTTTGTTATAGATTGACATAACAAAAAATATTCGTAATTAAATCACAAACTTTTTTAAATATCAATCATAAAATTTTAAACATTTTATTACCACTAATTTTATAATAATTACACATTTTATAATTATATAAAAAATTTGATAAATTAAAATTATACATTTTGATAATACTGATTGTTTGTTTAAAAATGTATAAATTTATCATTTTATAGAATTACACATTTTTGTAGTTCAATTTCCATTTTGCTGTAAAAGGAAAAGAGGCAAATCCGATAAACAGATTGAAAGTCGGGACTCGCCCAAGCTGCTTCTACTTGTACTTACTACTACAGTGATCTGTGTTTCATAGTTGTCAGATCTGATACCCTTCGTTCGAATCGGAAGTCTCAAACATCACTTGATTCACTCAAAATACAATCGTTGTTGGCCATCGAAAACGTTGTGGAATTACACGCGCCAATGAGCATTGAGAAAGCAAGCGACCAAACTCAGAGAAACAGTCGCCAAACAACAACAGGTAAAATAAATCATAATTGTTCACTCGCTTGTCTTGTTTTGGTAGCTGAAGAAAATGCAAGAAAAAGCCCAGAATTTAAAAATTTACCAATCAGATGATATTTTCACCTGTTGGGTCACCGGTTGCCAATTGGAGCGGAAGTTGTGTAAAATGTCAGATTGGTTTCTCTTTTATTGGTCTTTACTTGCTTTTCTTCCCCGAAATTTAATTGAATTGCTAATCTTGTGTTCAGAATTTACTTACTAGAAAATATGTATTTCTGTGTGGGGTGTGTGCGTTGGTTTGGTTTTGTCTTGTTTTGTGAATTGATGTTTACATAAAACTTTTGAATTGGTGAATTTATTATGTACGTTTGTCAATTAAGGCATGGTTATTTCTATGCAATCTTGTTGCAAATTATCATATTTATGTTTATAACATTCTAAGCTCAATCTCCAATCCTTTACTCATTTATCTGTTATTTATAGATTGAGACAAAATTTTGCTGAAAGTTGGAGCATCAATGTTTATTTTTATTCCTCTTTTCTTTTTCTTTCATTATGTTATTTTTTAAAAAATTCCCTACTTATCCATAACCTCTGTTAACTATTTTTTGATGAGGAAAACCATCTGCGACCCTACTGCTTTTTAAAATATCTCAAGCGTTAGGAGTGAAATATAGATTGTTGGGATTTGAACAAGATTTGGTTCTCTTTTGATGTGATGAAGGATTTGTTCATTACTTAAAACTTTGATTCAAACTTTTTTGAAACGACTTGAGTTCATTTTAGCCATTTGTCTCAGCAAATCTTGAAATTTGTGGAGGAAATATAGTATCCCTTAGTTCATCTGGTTTTTGATACTTTGCACTGATGATACAAAGAGTACCCACTATGCGTTATAAGAAATGCACTTAGAGAGGGGAAGTTTCTCCTATGCAAGATTTTAGTAAAAAAATTTGATTTATCAAGAATCAAGAAACTTAGGGTTTTTGTTGCGTTGATCTTGGTTGATATTGGTTGTTGAAAGCAACTCAAACTTACTTTAAATTTTGCGACTGGGGGTACGGACTATTGTAAGTAAGACACGTGTGGGAACTTGGAGAGCAAATATCTAACAAAAAACTAGGGGAGAGAGAGAAGGGAAACAGATGTGGGATTGGTCACTTGTAGCAAAAAGGAAATTATACAACTATAGCTTATTGTGTCTTTGATGTTACAAAGAATTCTACTATAAGAAACATTTTAGAAATCGAACCTGTATTTGCCTCAATAGATATTTCTCCTTTTATTATTTTGAATGATTATTATCTCTAAATTGGTGATGTAAATATATGTATTTCAGGCTGTAATAAAGCAGTTTAGTGGGACCAGTTATGAAAGTTCTGATGTGATGGTCATTGATGAGGTTGAAATGCAAAGACATCAACAGTTAGAGAAATTTTACAGGTCTACTTGTGCAGGAAAGGTAAGATGTTTCAACTAGTTCAACGGTTAAAATTAGACTATCAACCTTGAGGTAATGGTTAAACTGAAGTCAACCACTTTGTACAAATAATTCCAAATGTTAGAACTTAGGTCTGTAACTTATCTATCCTTCCCAGACCCCATCAACGGAAACTAAATGGGCTGTACATATGGCATCTAAAGTTATATAATTTTTGGTTTTGAATTGAATGAGTTTGGATTGCAAATCACTATAGATTGGAATGAGGAATTTTTTTTTATTCTTATCCAGGCATGGTGTAGGTGGTAGAGGTTAGAGGTGGTCGGTTGTTGACCTTCAGGAAGATAAAGTTGGTGAAGTGCTTGCCGTCTTGCTCGGGCTGACCTATGGGAATATGGCGGGCACTTCACCAACTTTATCATCGACATTTTTGAATATTTTCCAATGACAAAGTTGTAGTCACCTCACCAACTAGCTCGGGTTGAACAAGGCCAGAAACGCCTCGCTCAAACCTATTACCATGACCAGTCTTGGCTCTCAAGGTATCAATGCATTCCTAGAACTTGGCACATTTTGGGAAGAAGGTCTGGTACCTATCATACCACAGCCAAGATCGTCTTCAGCATCATCCCCTCATAATTTCAGTATTCTTATCCAAGCTTGCCTTATCATCCTCAGAACCCTTTGCATCATCTTCAATGCTTTCCAGCCATCTATAGGCATCAAAGCCCGCCTTACTCTTCCCTATCCTAGAGGAAGGGTTTGCTGGAGGAAAATCACCAATGCCAGGTAGCCATTCCACCGCCAAATCCATGGTAGTGTCACCAAGAAGGTCACAATCCCTTCTAGAGGATCTGAAGGAATTGAATGACCACCATCTTGAGAACCATCAGTCAATGAGGCCTTCTGTTGCACTAATTTTATCCAACGAACATCCTTTGCCCCCTACAAACAACTGAGGCGTTTTAATGCAAACATATTCAAAACACTAAAACCAAATTAAAAATGTGTTACACAATTTGAGTACGAGCACGAGTTTACCTTGGTTAGTTGAAAAGAACTGACCAAGCCGCTAGGGCAACTCCTTATTTTGCAAGCGACCCCAGTAGCGATAGATGAATTCAGGCCTCTTGACTTTGGATGCACTCTCTTAGCAACAAGAACAGCAACAAAAGCAAGGGGTGGCCTTTTATGTTTGGCATAGGGGACAGTGTCAGAATGGAACAATTGAACTTGGTCTAACATAGCTGCTACCTTATCCAACCGAGCCAGTGGGCTGATCTCACCCTGATTGGCAACTGATGAGCCCCTCTCCTTGTGAGGCATACACAACTCACTGTCGTTGGACAAAACAAGCTCTAGATGCACTGGCTCAAGATTGCCACTCAAAAAAATCCAAAAAGCCGCAAGGTTGTGTTTTCAATACTTCTAGTTCACGGTAGTTCCTATCTTTGCCTGCTAATACAATTCAACCATCACTCCTTAATTCTTCAAGAAGGAAAGCATACATAAATAGTTGCATACAGTTAGTTGCAAAAGAAGGGGAAGGAAGATGCTAAGGGATGCCTTGGTCCAAGCCAAATTTCCTTGCGACCTTTAAAGGATTATTGCCGCCATGTCATAACTGCAATCTATAAAGAAAAGTAAATACCTAGGAATGGTATTTATCAAAAAAAAAATAAAAAAATAAATAATAATAATAATAATAATAAAATAAAAATAAAATAATACCCAAGAATGGCACTGAGAATCATCACAGAATTTGCATTCCCCAAGAAAGGTACGCCTAGCTCAAGAATAAGCTCACAATCATCTCAAGCAATATTCAGTAGTCGAGGCAACCCCACAAATTGGCCTAATATAAGGATGGGCAATGAATTTATCCTCAAAGTCAAAAATGCTGATTAAATCCCACGAATAGTCCCTTTAGTCCATCGGATTGAACGAGGCTTACTGTATCCAATAGAGAATGACCTTGTCATAGGAGCTAGGCTAGGAAACCGTTCACACAAAACTAGTTGTAGAGATAACGTTTGAAGATAGCTAATAACATCATACTGCCCTTTAGAACGATAGGCGCCCTCTTAGAATGTATCCGACCGCCTATATAAACCCCCAGAAATAAAGGGGCCAACAGAATTGGACGTCCGGAGGCAAGAATGGCAACAAACAGGAACAACTCATAACATATACCATCTTGGGGTCTACCAATCATGATATAATGTGACAACCAATATGCAATAAAAGTGGCTAAGTGCTTAGTACTCCCCCACTTTTCTCCCTCCATACCAGGATCCATTACTCCATTCTTTGGATCACCTTTTACTTGTTGGCTATGATCTTGGAACCAGTAATGCGACCAACCCCCAAAAGTGTTCTTTATTGTCACCCCCGCAACGGCGGTTCAATCAATACTTTGTTTTGGTATTGACTCAGCATCCGCCCTGCTGGGTCCATATAGAGATCTCCAATTTGGCAACTATAGCCTTTTGACTAAGGGACAAACTACTAGCACTGAGGTTCACCACGCCGAGGTGTTCTAAACTAGTCGAAATAGTCACATCCTCCAAACAAGATGGATCCCACTTGACCCGTATACATTGACAAATCGCAGTGTCAATCTTAGATTCGGTCAACACCTCGTAATACGAGGGATGGTGAAACATGGCCACACTCCAAATGTTGAAGTCATCCTTGACCCTTGTATAATCCTCAAAAGCATGAAAAGAGTAAGGATAGTTGCCCTGCTCCACATGAAGATTCACAATGGACGCAGGAGGAATAAAAGCTTCTACCAATCCCTCGGGTTTGACTCAACCAAGAAGAATTTAAGAAGGGCTCTCTCCACCCTCATTAAACAACTCTGCCCTTTTCCAAAACAAGCCTGAAGAGCCAAAAGAACTCTGCCTTCACCAATAGTCTGCGGTTGGAAAATTGGGTGGGGCCGTTGCTTATTTTTTAGCTTTATAAGGACATTTTTTGGTCTCGTCTCCCTTTTATCTGAAAGTAATAGATGAATCTATTGGTGGTTGTTGAGATGTACTAGGGAGAGGGACAACACCTCCCCCCTTTACCTTTGCCATCTCCAAATGGCATGGCCTGCATGAACCCAAAAATCAAAAATAAAAATTCGTGTTCATAGAGCAAAATACGTTCAATATGGAAGTTGAAATAAGATGGACATCTTACCTAAAATTGGCGCAACACACTCAACAACAAAGACGAATGAGAAAAAGTGAGTGTTGATCCAAAGGTAAGTGTAGTGCCCAACTACAGACATAAAGAAGAGCTACACATTACAAGGGAAAAGGTACAACTTACAATTTTAAGCCTGCCTTACTAACTAGAAAACATACCAAGCTTCGAAGCTCAAAGGGAAAGACCCACGTGGAAAAAATCACTCGTCCTTTGCTGTCCAAGCACAACTTCGCACTCGAACTCACTGTGTAATTCAGCAAGATAAAAGTAAGTTCTTGGCGGAGAGCACCTCAACCATAAACAAAATTCAAAGTGAAGGAATTTACCCAATTGCTCAATGGCCAAACTAGCCCTCCATGCTCTAACTTGCTCCTAACTAGCTTTTGACAACAACACCGGGTTCAATGTGTCTTATGTCGCACAAGTAAACAAAAATTGGGGGCACAAATTTAATCACTACATGACGCAATTAGTAAAAGAGTAGAGCAACAAGGAAGTAGGAAAACTTATTAGAATAAATTTTGAAGCATAGCCAAACATCGGGCAAAGCTCACAACTATCCGACCCGGCTTGCAAACCACTTTGCTTGAATAGCTTGCTCTAACACCTCGCTCGCCTTCAAGTCACACTCCAAGTAATATAGGTTGTATCCGACTTAGTCTAGAATAAATTTGTTTGAATTAGGTTCGCAAATTGATCTTGTCGCTTCACCTTGCTAGCTACTCTCCCTCCCCTTGCCGATTCGCACTTGCAAATCTTGAAGAAACCCTTTCTAAACCTTGCTTGGCTGGCAACTCTATTGCTAGCTCGCAAAGTAAAACTAAGCAATATTGATCTTGCTTGACCCACTTTGGAGAGCACTATAGAGAGTAGTTCGTAACCCCTTTTTCGGAAACTACTTTGAAGAGCAACATGATTTACTTTTAAGCTTGTGAAAATTTTGCTTCTCCAGCCCCCTTTGCTTTGGCTCTCAACCTAGCAAGCTCTCTAGACACCTAGCTCTGGCTCGCAATGTGGCAAGCTCTCCACCACCTCATGGCTTGTACACTGTAAGAGGGACCATTTGTCAAGCTGTGCAGATGATAACCCCACTAAACTTGGAGCAAATACATGTTAACATTATCTCACAAACACCATGACTGAGACACTTGGATCATCACATTTCAATTATACCGGCACCAATGGTAGAGTCGAACACAAGCTTAGGACTAGAATGGACCTTAGAAGAATTCGGCGATCTCAACCTCAACACCCCACTGAAATTATTGGTATTCAATAGCGAAAGAGTCACTCACCCTAGCTTTCTTCACCATTATATGCACCTCAACGCAATTGTGCACCACTAATTAGTCATTATTATAGAAACAAAAAGGCAAGGAAGTCAAGTTGAATTCATGAGTAAAATTCTTGGGTATCAAAATATGCAAACCATAGAATCGCTTAACAATGGATTAGAAAGGATGAGAGGAGGTATGTGGTCTTATGGAATGACACGGAAATCTCCCGTGAGATTGTGGAACTCCCAGCGCAAGAGACTGCCTCCCAAAAAGTTCACATCTTTATTCAGGTAACTTTGAGGTTGGACAAAAACTAAGGGCTAAAGCTCTATATGAGCATTTGTATGTCCCATCTTCTCGGTTAAGGTCTTGTATCAAAAATATTGAATGAAAATTTAGCGCCTTGTTTAAACTGATCATATGTTAATATTTTTAGCATCACTTGTGTACGAATACACTCATTGCTCTTAAGAGCACTTGTACAAGGGGGCATTAATGTGAGTGTCTATACCACACTCGACATGTGGCGAGTCCTTTAGGTGCCACATCATTGCCATCACATGCCTACGTGGCAGACCTTTAAGGCATCATGGTCAATTGAGATTGTATGCCCAGCCTAAGCGGAGGCATGCACATCATCGAGAATGGAGAACTCTAATAAATGGTCGTCAACCTGCCTACGGCTTACTAAGGCCCTAGGTTCACCTACCGGCCCAATTTGGGTTCTTGGCCCACCTTTATTGTCTTTGCGGCCTAAAGTTGAGCCTCTAGCTCGCACTTGCTCGGCTCTTTGGCCCATATACACTTGCCTCGTAGCCTAAGGAGAGGCCTTGCCTTAATGCTTACTTATTCTACCAGAAGACTGTCAAGATATTGCCTGGCTGCCTAGGATGGGAGCAGGGCCTAGGCATCCCTGCTTGGGACATTGAAGGACTGTGGACTAGAGGCAAAGACCATAGGACTGTCAAGATATTGCTTGGTTGCCAAGATAGCTCCACCTTTACTAGATTTAGAGAGGCGCGAGAGGGACCTTACACCCACTCCTTTGCATACATGATACATTGCCCTCGAAGATATCAGACTTGCCACTCTAGACGACAATAGAGCTGATATCAGCTCCTTGAGGTGAGGAAAGCCCGCCACGTGTCCCGTAGGTTGTTTGGGCTCCAATACTAATATGTCATACATGCAGCGATTATCAACATTTGTTATACAACAACATTTGACCAATACATGATTGTTACTAAAACTTTTCTTGTTTTTGTTTCAAAAAACACTAAAAATGAAAACAAAAATTTGACCAATACTTTTGAGTATATAAATAGGAAAGTTGCCCTCTATCTCTAATAGCTTAAGCTTTTGGATGAGTTGGTGGTCAACAATTTACCATGGTATCTGAGCTCTAGTTCTAGGTGGTCTTCAGTTTAGGTCTCGTCATCCCTATTATCTTTGTTATTAAGCACTCTGTTTTGCTTGTTTTTTGTGCACCTTGTTCACTCAGTTTGTTTGCCTCTCCACATGTGATGGGGAGTGTACGTTGTTGTCACGACCCAAACCCGGCCCTATGGGTTTAGCACCGTAACCGGCCAGTAATCCGAGATTACCGATGGCCTGCAGAACAGTAATACAGTAAAACAGAGTACAGGGCCTGGCGGAAGCCAATATAGTAATTAAACAATTTCCAATGAGCTGTGACAGTCTGTATGCCAAAAAGATTTTTTTTTTTAGACATTCATACATAAACAGTACAGAACAGTATGCACAATATTTACATCCATTCAAACTAGGGACTCAACCCTACATAACAGTACAGAAAACATTCCGTCTGTACAAAACAGTACGGTCTATACAAAATTTACAGTCACACAGTACAGGGACCTAATCCCTTGATAACCGTACGGTAAACATTCAGTCTATACAGAACAGTTAGACGGTACAGAAGGGGGGAAAACAAACAAAACACCCCAAAGCCATAGCATGGCAACTCGGAACCTCGCAGTGAGGCACATAGGCTGGCTTGACAAAACTGGAGTCTTTCAGGCAAACCAGGTGGACGAAAAACAACTTGCTTGGTCACACAATCAATAGTGGCATGATATTTTGTTAACCAGTCCATCCCCAATATAACATCAAAATGATCAATGTTCAATGGCAGTAAATCAATAAACAGATGCATATCCCCAACAATGATTTCACATGCGGGGTACATATAAGCACATGTCATGGATCCTCCTACGGGTGATGATACGGCTAGCAGATAGTCATGAAACAGTAGTGGTTCCAACGAGGGAACTGACAGAGATCTCTGTAACAGTATCAGTAAACAGTAGGTGCTAAGGATGCCACAATACAATTCAGAATATAGGACATACATTCATTCAGTTAACAGTAATCAGTTCAGAAAACAGTACAGTTCATTTGTTCAGAAGATATTCGTTTATGAACATATCTTTACACAATTGTTACTCACAGAGTTCTGGGCTACAGTATGCTAGAGCGTGTCTCTCCAGTCGCCAACCCTACACAGTTCACAGGTTGAACACACACTAAGCTACACAGTTGGGAAATATCATAACTTAATCCCTAATGCCTTGGTGTGTTCTACATCTATATCCTCAACAAGATGTCTTAAACTAGGCCTAAGAATGCCTAGAATGGGATGAGGATGCAAAGATGTACATTTAAAAGCATTTTCAGAAAAACAGAGTCCCGCTCGAGCTCAGGTTTCCCCGCTCGAGCGGTCATGCAACAAAGGTACACGCTCGAGCGTAAACTTTCCCGCTCGAGCGTACTGTAAAAGTACTGGATGGGTGAAATCCCCGCTCGACGCCCGCTCGAGCTTGAGACATGACTCCGCTCGAGCGCCCAATCCTCCGCTCGAGCGGACTGTAAAACAGTGCAAGATGCTGGAAGCTCGATTTTCCCGCTCGAGCGGCACTTCCCCCGCTCGAGCTGACGACTGAAATCTGGAAATCCCAGATTCGAGCTCCAGGTTCAAAACCAAGCTCAAAAGCATCCAAACCAATCCTCTTGGGCCCATTTTCTGGAAAACATTTATAAACACATAGAATAACATGAATCAAGGCTCAATTTGAGAAATCAAAGCCCAAGGGTGTTTTATTCAAACCCAATTTCAAACCATTTTCCAAGAACAATCCTCAAACATGCATGAATGAGTTTTAAACCAAATTGAAGCTCCAAAGCTTGCTCAAATGAGCTCATTTCTTTCCAAAACCAGATGAAAACATGGTCTATAACAACAATATGAGCATGCATGTACCAATGTCCATGTAATCAACCTCAAAATGCAATAATACTAACATGCATGCAAGAGATGAGCTTCAATCCAACATGTATGCACCAAAACATGGCTTAACTCTACAAATTAACATGAACCATGCAAGAACTAGCCCAAACACATCAATAAAGGTTGAGTTCTCATACCTAGAGCCTCAATTACAAGTGTAGGACCACAAAGCAACAATCAACCTTCAATTCTCTTCAAATTCTAAGCAATATTGAAATGAACTCAAGACTCTCACTTCCTCTCTCTCTAAATTCGGCTAGAACAGAAGAAATGGCTGAGCAAATGTGTTTTGATTCAAGTATAAGGCTCAAGTGTGTGTATTTGAGATAGTGGCCCACTCAAGGGCATAACGGTAAATAAGTCCAACTCTTTAATTAGCTTATTTAATCTAATTTAATCATACCTAATCACTTTTTCAATGAATGTACCATAAAAGTACATTAATTATGAGGATCATAAAACACTAACCAATTCCCGGTTCGGCCGCCGATAAGGCCTTCAATTAATAGTTTAAACATAAAACACGAACAGATCAAACAAACAGTCAACAGATAAAATGCAATTCAAACAGATGTATTCACTCAATTCAGTTTCAATTTCGGTCAGTCAGTTCAGTACTTTAATCAGTTCAATTCTCAGTCAGTTATCAGTCATTATCAGTTCCGTTTAACAGTAATCGGTGATTATCGGTAATCAATCGATCATTAATCAATAAACAGTATGGGGGTTGTTACAGTTGTTGGGCCTATTTCCCAATTGCTTAAGCTTTTGGAGACAATTGGTGATCTAATAGATACTAAACAGGGCCTATGTTTTGCCTGCATTTCAGAATATAAGGCATTTTATTTTTCAATGTTTAGCTTTCATTACATTAACCAATTGTAACATACTTCTGTAAGTTCTTTTGCAATACCTAAGAGTGCCCTAAAACACTCATCGTGTAAGTTAGCGATGTGCATGAGGGAAGTTCAAGAAAAATATCTTGGAGGGACTTGTTTAAGTGGGGTTGAGCATCTGAATTTTCTGAATAGATAAATTTACTAGTTATGTTGGAAATAAATCAAATAATCAATAGTGTACTATTGAATGCCAGTCTTGAGTTTAACAATTCTGGGTACCTCAGAAATTTTTTTTTTTTGGTTGATAACATGCCTTTTGAAACAGGTTAATTCCCTACGGTCCGTGGCCTCAAGAGTTTTGCTGGCGAGGTGAGTCGAACCTGAGACCTTGGAGGGAGCAATCCCTAAGTCTCAAGCCTCATCTACCAAGCCAAACCCTTGGGGTTTCCTCAGTTACTTATTGTGTTCCTAGAACTTTTTTTGCACCTTATTTTTTCTTTTTGATGCAAATAACCAAACCAAACCAAACCAACCAAGCCTTAAATTCCATCAAATGGGGTCGGCTACATGAATTCTTTTTCTCCACTTGACTCTATCAACAGCCATTTGATTAGTCAAATTAAGGAGATTCATATATCTATTTACTACACTAGCCAACGCCAATCTAGGTCTGCCCTTTCCTTAACACTTCTATCTACCGTTATTGTATCGCATCTCTTCACTATAGTCTTTGTTGGTCTCCATTGTATATGACAAAACCATCTCAATCTATTCTTTCTCAACTTATCTTCTATTGGTACTACTCTTACTCATTCATGAATATGTTCATTTCTAACTCTGTCTTTTGTAGTCTTGCTACACATCCATCTTAGTATTCTCATCTCAGCAACACACATTTTATCTACATGTTGTTTCTTTGATGCAAATATGTGAGATAATTTATTAGATTGATGTTATTACTGTTTCATGTACTCATTTCTGCAGGATTTTCAGAAAGATATTATTAAAGCAGCAGAAGCATTTACAGCCATAGGGTACAAGAATATTGAAGCAGGTAAAACATGAATTAGTACTGACTGGTTACATTGTTCTGGGGGATATTGTAATGGATGAACTAAGCAAGTTTCTTTATCAACATTTGTGTCATAGTAAAACATTATTATTTAAAGAAAATGCTATTCCACCATAATTTATATACAAAATTTTTCACCATAGTGATGTGGTAGTATCATTTGTGTAATTAAAGACATCTCAATGGGCTCTTTATTCTGAAGTGATATCCTCAAATCTCAGTCAGGTCAATTCATATAAGTTATTTTGTATGGATTTTCTGTTTGTATACACCACTCATTATTTAACGGTCCACTATGTATTTGAACTGAACTTTATTACTATTATGATAATCAGGAACCAAGTTGTCTGAGGATTGTTTCAGATATGGAGTTGAGAACGTTGATGACAAGATTCTAGCTAAGGCTGCATCTCTATATGGCGATACCCGTAAACATATGGAACAGGAGCAAGAAGACATTAATAGGCAATTATTTTCTCAGGTTTGTGCCATCTCTATGGTTAGCAACTATCAAATCAGTAGTGCTTCCTTTGGGATGACTACTTGTTAGTCATGTATTTCTATCACATAAATGTAATATATCAGCTAATTCTAAATAGAAATGAACATATCTTGTGATTCCTTTTTGAGTTTCTTTGAGATGCTAATTAGTTGTATATAAAACATGTAAGCTACTTGATTATGTGATTATTTCATATTGAACTCCATCTTTTTTTCTACCTATAGCATTTGAAGTTAGAAGGGCCTTCTTGTGGTTGTGTTGGATAAAGGCACATATGCATGACTCTTTTATTTAAATTGTCAAAATTTGGATTTGTTTAATTAAAATTAATTTCTGCCTTTTGATATTTTGGAGTGACAAGAGCACACAATAGCAAAACACCACATTTAAAGAAATCTTGTTTGATAACAATTTGAAAGAGGCTAGTTAATCTAAATGGTGAATGATCAACCCCACATATTTTCAACCAGTTTACTTTCTTCATATTCAAAATTGAGCTATTTATTATAACTATCCTAAAAATAGAAGTATGAACCTAACGTTTTCTATACCCAGATTTTAGAACCATTGAGAGCAATGGTAACTGGGGCTCCTTTGGAGGATGCTCGTCATCTTGCTCAACGTTATAGTCGAATGAGACAAGAAGCAGAGACACAGGTAATCAGACAGCTACGCTACATTTATCGCAGGAAAATATTTTTCCTTGTGGCTGCAATTCAGATTGCCTAATCATAATAGTAGATCCTTAATATATTTTTTTATAGTTTTAATTGACCATAAAAGGAAACAGGCAGCAGAGGTTTCTAGAAGACATGCTCGAGTAAGGGAAGCTCCCATTCCTGAAAATGTGGCAAAGCTTCATGCAGCAGAATCTAAAATGCATGAATTGAAAGCAAATATGGCAGTACTGGGTAAGGAAGCCTCAACTGCATTGGCTTCTGTAGAATCACAGCAGCAAAGGTTGACATTCCAGCGGCTTGTTTCATTGGTATGTCTGCGCTTCTGGAATTATTATTCTAATTTGTCACATATAATCATATGGTTTTGTATTTACTTTTTAAGTTTATTCTTCTGAAGGTTGAAGGTGAAAAATCATATCATGAAAGAATAGCTACCATTCTTGGTGAGGTTGAAGCTGAGGTGAGTGTCTGCCTACATTCTCTTTTTTCCAGAAAAGAAATATTTGTACATTAAAACAATTTTTGTTTGTGGGATGACCTGGAATTTGGTGGTAGATGGTCTCAGAGAAACAACGAAAAGAGTCTGCTCCTCCTGTAATTCCATCCACCTACAGCTTAGAGAAAACAAAGTACTTCTTGGCTGAGGTATTTTCTAAATTTCATGAATTTCTGGCCATTAAAGGATATGTTTCCAATTCCCAACTAGCTTTGGGGAGGATTTTATTTATGGTAGAATTACTGGAAAGTCCCTTTTCAGGAACTTGCTTACTTGTGATCCAATAAGTCCTATATATTTGAAATTTTATTCTAGGAGATATATATTTATTTTTTTGAATTAGATGTGTGTTCATGATAAGTTCACCCTTGTTTTGGTCAACATGCTTATGTGGCAACATTTTGTTTTTTCAAGTTTAAATTCTGTAACTTTCAAAATGCACATTATTTTTGAAAACTACTCGACAGGATCTATCAAACAAGATCACAATTGAATATAAAATTATGTAAAATGTAAAAAGTAAAAATTCTACTTCTTTTTTTTTTTTTTTTGGAATTTGAAAGTGTCAATTTTTTCTACAATTATAATAGTGTGAATTTTTAGGTGTGAAAATTATAAATGTAAATATTCGTATTTTCAATTAATAAAATATTATGAATTTTTGAAAAGTATAAAAATTAGTTTGAATATTCATACTTTTTAAAAAAAATTCACTTTCTAAAAGTTAATATTATTCTAATTTATTGAAAATGTGAATATTTGTACATTTATTCATATAAAGTATGAACATTTATATTATATTATATAATATAAGCAAAAACATTGTTGGTTCATTGAGTCTTAAAGTTCTAACTCTATTTTCATAAATTTTTGAATTAAAAAATTATGAAAATACACATGTCAATAAACCATTGGTCATTTGATCAATATGGTAATATATTTAAACATATAACTTAACTCTTATGAAACATTTTACATAGAAATCAAATCAAACTTTTTTATGTTTCAAAATATCAAAATCATATCATTTATTGATCAATAAGGTAATATATTCCTTAAAATCATAATGCTTTTTAAAAAATAATTTATTAAAAATTTATAATATGAAAATACACATGTTATAAAATGATAAAATTTAGTAAACATTATATTATAATATTATGGGCTCTTTTGTTATATTAATCGTTCTTTCTTATTTATTATTATCTTATTTTCATTTAATTTAAATATTTTGTTAATCCATGTGGTTTGTTTTTTTAGTTTTCTTTAATTATAATCATCAATCTCTAATGAGCAATAAGCTCGCTGGAATTTCTATAATAGAAAGCATACATGTTTTGAAATTATCACTTTATTATTTATCGATAAATTAAACTATAATTATAATTTGTGAGTGATAATTTTTTCCAAATCTATTATTATCTATATATTAACGCAAAATAACTTTTTGTCCAAAATGTTTTAAGAGCTTCAAAATATTAATTTCAATTTATAAAAATTAATAAATACATGTCATATAAAATTATTAACCAATAACTTTTTGTCCAAAATGTTTTAAGAGCTTCAAAATATTAATTTCAATTTATAAAAATTAATAAATACATGCTATGAAGCACGGACACCTCTCCGAGGGCTTCGTACTAGTGTCGGACACGGACACGCGTCGGACACGCGGTGGACACGTGTCCGACTGTAGACACCCCATTTTTGACCGTCCTCAAGACTTGGACGTCACCGCTTGAACATTTGGTGATCATCCATGTTTGTGTTCGTCTTGAGTTCCCGGAGGTCTCGGCTACGCGCCTTGCCTCAGGATCTCTCGACTCAACTGTTTTGTATCTGGTTTTGCACCAAACACTTGTGCTTTGCCTTGGAGGTACATGGTAATATACCTTTTGTTGATTAAATTTTAGTTATTTATATTTGGAATCTTTAAAAAGAATGTTCAAAATAAAATTTTAATAATTTATTGTTGACTACATTTGATATCATGCCTTAGATGACACTTCATATATATCATGTGGAGTGTATCAAATGATGTAATTAGTGCCATGTAAGATGTCACATTATATAATATCCAAATATGATAATTCTAACATTACTCAATTTAAAAATATATAAAAAAATGTAGATTATCCAAATTCAATATTTTATATACAAATATTAGTGAGTTTAGGGGTTTAGCAAAATGATAGTGACAAGGCATGGGCAACTAACAAAGAGAAGTTAAGATGCCTAGTTGGAGAAAGGTTGGATGATTGAGGTTGTGAAAGTCGCGAGGTGGGTGAGGGAGGAGGACAAGAAAATGGTCCAATGTGAGCTGCCAAAGCTCGCGAGTGTGAGAAAATCGAGAAGTTGTACTTGGTAATTAATGCTGATTTCAGGACGAACAAAAGCATAGGGGTCACTGGTAGTTCATTGTTTGTCATTTTCATTTTGTTATTCAATTTTTTGATTTAAACAAATTTTGCTAGATTGAGTTTCAAAAAAAAAAAAAGAAAAAAAAAAGG